TGTTGTTAAGTATTACTGTACACATGATCAGTTCAGTGTACATCTGAACTTATTTTTATATTGCTATGCAAATACTTTATACAGTGTCCCCAATAAGTTTTTTAACGGTTAATACTTTTTTCGGGAAACGATTGAAAATTTCCAATTTTTATGCCTGACAGCTAAGTTTTTTGGTAACGGTAAACCCCATTGAGACACTCCAGTAAGTCTGCGTGGCCTTCAACTAATTTTACTTGTACCAACCTGCCTCTCCCTTATGATTTTTTGTGCAAGAGAGTGCCCCCCCCGGACCAGCTTCGGGTCCAGTCTCACTGAGCACCTCTGGAACCGCAGTATTCTTTTCGTTCGATGAACTTAAAAGAAATATTTTTAACATTTATTATTTATTATTACTAAAATAATGTAAAAAGATTGTTAGAACTACCAAGTAATGCCCTTACCCATTTTGTATGAATAAAACTTTTCCGTCCTCAGAATTGGGATCGTTTTGTTTCGACGAGTGACAGCTTAGAATGAAAAGGTCAAGGTTGGGTAAAGCGCTCGAAGTCACAACTAAGGCCCTGAAATATAACACTTGATCCAACTCAACTGGGTTGACAAGAGGCGTGCTAAAATTAGCATCGTGGAAAATGTCAAGTGTAAAGGTGAAAAACGCGGAGTCTGAAGAATAAACGAAAGAAAAAGTTAGTAACGTTCGATTCCTTTTCAAATTTAACACCTTACTGATGATGAAGATTTAACTTCATTCAAGATTAAATCTGATTCGGAGATGAAAAATGCAAAATCGTGTAGTCGAGTTTGATTACGTCAGTTTTTTAAAAGGAGTTTCTATAGTTACTAGAATTCTTCACAGGATCTTTTGCTATATAATGACAAGTTAGAAGATCCGAGATAAACTAAATCATCCGAGGACAAGGGGTAAGCAAGGGTCACTACAATAGGATAAAATAGGAGACCATCCGTACGAGGAGTTTCCTAGACGTTTAATCATACCGCCTCCGAGGTCCCTACCTCAATATCATGCAATTACGTTCCCTTTTTTCTAAAACCCTTCAAAAATTGTTTATTTGCTAAAATATGCAGAGGGTGCACATTTTTCTTGATGGAATGCTCTGCTATCAAGTCAAGTCATCAGCCTTAGTTGGTTTTCTTACAGATTCTCTATTCTGGTCAAATTAAAATTTGGACATGTTGTTTTTTCCTGTGTTACCGAACCAGAGCAGGCTTACGATATATGCCTTTCTGATGCCTTTTTGTTTGTTTTGCCTCATTGTTAAGGAGAACACGGAGGAAAACCCTGGGAGCATGGCGAGAACTAACAACAAGTTCAACCGACATATGGCACAGGGCCAGAATCGAACATGGGCCACACTGGTACGAGGCGAGCGCTCTCACCACTGCGCCATACCTGCTCCCCACGATATCTTACCTGTGGCATTGTCCCTGCGTTGTGTAAGCGGTATGAAGCTGGCCGTCACCGTGTCGTTGTTTACGTACACGCACGAGGCGTCGAACATATGGTCCACGGCTTGTATTGGGTCACTGCCTGTAGGTAGTACACGGATTTTGAACACGTATATGATATCATTGTCTCTTTCCTCAGACGTTGAGGAACAGTTTCCCACAAGCAAGTTGGTGTACGTTACAGTTTGTCCCGAGAACGTCGGCTCGCACTCTTCCTTGTCGTCGATTCGCCAATCGCTTTCGTTAAACTCGTCAATGTCAATGACATTCATGATGGTGATGGTGACGGTGTGATTATCGTTACATACAATCGAACCCGTTGGGGTACCTGTCGAAGACAAAAGCTGATGAGTTTTCGCAGATATTTACTCTATTTCCTCTATTTACGTGCAGAGTAACTTGCGTCAGACTTGCGGTTTCGTTGGTTCGAGGGCAGAAAAACGCGTCGGAACCGCGAGCACGGCTCCGCTGCTCATTTTCAAGGTTCGCGTCTCGGCAAAAGAAACCGGAGGCAATGCATGAACAGAGATATTAGCTTTTGATGAAACTGTTGTGCTGAGTCGGCGAACAAGTGACAAAAGTGTCAAGTGATAAATAGCCAATTGGTACTTGGCTTTTTGTCAACTTGAAGTTAATAAAGGCAAATAATCTTCTGTAGCGAGTTTGCGAAGCTGCAACGCAGCCTGATGAAACCTGATGGAATTGTTACTGGTCTTTCGTAAAATAGAATGTAAATAACAAAAAATTAAAACTGTTTTAATCATGAAAGCTGATTGACTAGCTAGGAAAAGTGGCATTTCAGAAAAATGTCTTGGGCTTGTTCGAGGAGGCTCAATATCTTCTTGAGTTTGAAGGCTTGACTGACCTAAGCTACATGCTTATTAAAAGCGCGGAAAAAGTTGGTAAAAGAATCATGTTTATTGTACAATTTCCCGCCGTGTTTATGCTGACGAAAAAAGCGGCAGTAATTCGAAAGATGTACATGATACAGATCTCAGTTCCGTTCCTTTACCTCATAAATTTCTAATGTAATTTGTAAATTGAAGGAGCGAATTGCAGCTGTTTTGGAATACTGCACCATTTTTAACGGAAACTGGGCATGCCGTTGTTCAGTTTTCGATGCGGCTAGCTTGTTAGATATTGTTATCGAACTTTTTGCTGCATCGAATTTTGACCGGCCAATTAAGCACGATGTTGAATTATTTACCTTGAGAAAATACAAGGCTTCAGTGTGTTAAAAGTAACATTGCAAAGCAAACTGATTAATTGCTAACCGTAGTACAAATTACTGTAAAAGATTTATACAGCTTAACTTCGACCTAAAGGACGAGCTAAGTAAATAGTTACGTTTTACTAAGTATGCCGAGAGTTTTGCCCCAGCTGGTGTTGATATGTTAGCCCGCGCTCAAAACACTGTACTATGCATACTCAGTAGGGCGGTAACCAGACTTCAGAACAAGACGAGGCAAGTTTCGAGCGCCGATGGCGGGAGCCGCAAGGGGGTCTGGGGGCATGCCCCCCCGGAAAATTTTGAAACCTAGAGGCTCAGAAATGCTCTTTTAAGCATTTTCCGTGGCATTTTTCTTCAGAAAAGTCAATCTCGGGCAAGTGTAGAAGTTCACTTTTTTATTGCTGAGCGATACTGGTGCCAAGTTAGTGACCACCTGCATTTTAAAGCATTCAAATGTTGTAACACGTATTATAACAATTAAACGTTTCTTCCAAAAACAAAAAAAAGGCCAAAATCAAGACGAGGTAATTGCCTCGTCTTGCGTCATGCTAGCTACGGCCCTGCCCAGTCAGAGCTAACGGCGTATCAGACATCTAAACTTTCACTGATGGAAGAGGCGTTATCGCGGCACCGTTCTATGCAGTTTTAAACGGTGTTATAATCGTTTTTAAATCAGATAACACACTAAAGGCACCGGATTTGGGGTTGCCGAAAGCAAAATTTGTGCCCACAAAAATGCAAAGAGACAAAAACTTTTATCGATGCACTTAAGATTCCAGTCATACAAAATTCAATACAACGATTTCCTTCTACACAATATCACACTGCTTTGTTTGATGGAATGTTTAATTTTCTCCAAGCAGAGTATAGTGTTAAGCAAAGGTGCTGATTTGCCTTAAAAATGCGAAGATCTTTTTGAATTTAGTAATATTAATAATTGTCGCCTTACTATATGAAAAAATTTTCTATATTGCTTTTTAATTGGAAAAATTCTGGAAAGATCTTACCTTCAATGCTGACTTCAAACTGTAAAACAAGCGCTATTGATAACCAATGAATCCACGTCATTTTGAGACGGACCTTTTATTGTTTCTTCTTCTGCGGCTTTTCCAGAGGCTTTGGAAAGCCTGACTAATGAGAAAATAAAAACAAAAATAAAAATAAAAATGAGGACACCGTGATGGATTTCAAGTCCAGCAATGTATTCTTATGAACTCTTATGTGCTTGTTTAATGGTTCACTGGTTTTGACCTGAAAAAGCTAACAAAAACTATTTGTTTATCGTCACTACACTTGTATGTATGTCGTGGGACTAGAATTTTCTTCGAGCATATTTCAAGGTCTAAATGCGTTGTGTGTGATATTATGTCCTAACAGCTTGTTTATCATGATTGTGACTTTTTTTTCACATATTAAATGCACTATACTTCACAAATTAATGTACACCATTATTCAGTTCAATGATTGAAACTGATGATATTGCAGATGCTTTAAAGTGGCTTTCTAAAGCTAAAGGTTAAGTCCACGATTTTCATATCAAATGTTTTAGTTTTTACGATAAGAGCTATTAATGACTTGTTTATAACTGAGCAGGAAAAACAACAAGTGCACTTAGCGAGACGAACAATTACCAATGCGAGCCATTTCGTTTCTCTCATCTTTTTATTTTCATAATGGCATAGTCACCTCTATTAAAGACGGGTTCGTATGGGAATGCTTTGCACATATAACAACTTTCGGAGGTAATATCGCTTAATCGTGATTACGTGATGCTGGTAGCTCGCGTTTCATTATCAACGGTTCATTTGAATACAGGAATTGATACATGACGCATGAAAAATACCTCGATGTTCAAATCTCTTTGGGGTTCAGGAGACGCGTGTACAGTCGTTCGAATCAAGGGCGGTGAAGCCAATTTCTTAACTAAAACGGCAGCTTCTTTTGACCTCCTGCAGGGTGAGCCTAGATTTAAAGTTTAGTGTATTCATCAAGTTCACGCCGTCGACAATAATCTATTAGCAGGACCGAAACCCTCCCTGGCTTCTTACCCTGTTCACAGAGAGCGACAAATGTCGATATTTACAAAAAGATGCAAGCAAAACAGAAAAGGAATACTCACCAGCGCTTAGAGTAGCTTGAATTTCACTTTTCAACTGATGGAATCACTGCCTGCGCCCTTGACAACAAACGGAGTGCTTGGAATAGTTTCGTGAAGTTGCTTCGTTTGAAATTGTTGTCATTGTCGTCACGTTCCACTCCATTGGTTTCTCTCTTAAGATACGTACCTCGTCATTGTTAAACCGAATCATGCAATCTCGCTACGCCGAAGCCCGCTCTAGAAACGTGTCGCCTAGCAACAGTTTGCGTTTCAGCAAACAGCCAACGCCAACTTTTAACGCTGACTGAACCCTTTGAAAAAAGCATCGATCGGTCTCTTTACGTGTGATTTGGTACCAAGGCGAGGCGAGGGAAGCAAAGAAGACAACTCTCGGAATGTCGGCTTACACTCACATTCCTGTCAATTGACAATCCTCTGATCATGATGGAATTGTTATCAATACCGAATGCTTTCTCTGTGTCCCGACTTGTCAACAAAACAAGTCGATTTTTGTTTACAATAGCCCCCACCCCCAAACAAACAATCAGTTAAAGCGTATTATTTACTGTGATGTCCAAAGCCTGTAATCTACAAGTTGTCTGACGCAACCGGGCGACAATAGCCAAATGATGAGCATTTATGTTGTCAGAAGTCTTTAGATGTGAGATAGCGCTCCTTTATGTAAAGGAGCGGAAGCGGAATCAGTCACATGACTCACATGACCATGTCGCCTGCGCTTGCGAATGAGGAGGACGACGATTACGTCGACAATGGCCACAACCACGACACCGCTGACCGCCGTAATGATAGTCAAATTGGGCGAGAAAGCCTGGACTCTGTCCCGTTTGCCAGACCCATCTGCCAAAGAAATATCATTGTGTTAATGACTTGTTAAAACAAACCAGCATAACAAGTGAAATAGCTCATGGTGATTCTGTGAAATGTGCTTTCAGTTGGCCTTCGTGTTCACATGGAGTTTCAGTTTTCTTATCGTGCATTACTTGCAAAAAATTTCGGACGATTTTAACCTGGGACAAAAAAAAGTGTCCCAAAATGAAACTGTCCGAAATTTTTAAGGGTCTGAAATGTTTACAGTAAAGATAAATGTTTTTAAGTAGCTCCAAAGCTCTTAGTTTCCTTTATGAGGCGAACTCTAGCTGAAATACTGCTTGAGATGTACGTTACGGCTTGGTAGAATTTGCGTTATTTTCTCCTCGGTATCTCTATAACGCCTTGAGGTTGCGGTAAAACTACCACTTTCACAGATGTTTCTTCAATCTCCGTGTTTTGTAGACGTAAACGTACTTAATCCATGTTTCATCACAGTGTGTGAAATTGTTGTCCGAAATTTGTCCGAAATGAGAAGAGTGTCCGAACAAGGAGAAAAGTGTCGGAACATCAAACGTCCGAAATTTTTTGAACA